GCTGCGGCCCCCCAACCGGTGGGCCCACCGGACCAGCCAGGACTGGTGGCTGTACATAATCCAGAGCATGTAGGATGACGAGCAGAGGCTGGAGTCATTCTGCATGACCTGGGCCACCTTTGAGGAGCTCCTTGATCAGCTGGAATGAGGCCACCACCATATGGCTGCCCCTCCCTGAGGTCACCCAGCTGGCCATTGCCCTGCTCAAGCTGGCCCCACCTGCCAGCTTGTGCTACATCAGCCACCACTTTGGTGTGGGCAAGGCAACTGCTAAGGAGGCCATCCCAGAGGTTTGCAGCACCCTCCAAGACATGCTGGGGCACACCGTGCTCTGGGTCCATGACCCCTTGGAGGTGGTGGTGGGGTTTTGCACCCTGGTCTTCCCTCAGTTCATCATGGCCCTGGATGGGATCCACATCCCCATCACCTGCCCACCCCATGGGGACTGCCCCTACTACAGCTGGTGGGGCTTTCACTCTGTTTGCTGCAGGCCATCATTGATCATCATGATGCCTGTCCCTAGGCAGTGCCACAATTCCTGTGTCTTCCACCACTCCACCTTGCCAGCTGTGGTGGAGGACTGGTGCTTTGTGCCAGGGCTGCCAGGCCTCCAGCTGGGTGAGGTGATGGTCCTGCTTCTCCTCATTAGAGACCCTTCCTACCTGCTCCTCCCCTGTCTCATGTGGCCCTACACTGGCCAGCTGGACCCCTACCATATTTCAACAGGTGCCTGGGTCAGACCCGCACGCTGGTGAAATGCGCCTTCAGCTGCCTGAAGGGATGCTGGCACACCCTTACTTCTCAACCCAAGGTCACAGAGATCAGCATCGCCCATGTCATTGTTGCAGCCTGTGTACTGCATAACATCTATGAGACCTGGGAGGAGCTCTTCTGTGAGGCCTGGGTGGAGAATCACAGTAGGCAGAGGACACCTGGCACTGGCAGCTGCATCAGCAAAGGGACTCCTCCCCACTGAAGCCCTAGGCAAGCGACACACCCAACAGTGGAGGCCAGGATATAGAGTATGAGAGGTGCTGGTGGACCACCTATTCCTGCACTCCCCACTGTAGGCCACCTGAACAGATGGCCGCAGACCCCAGCCCCACTGTGCACCCCCAGCACCACACTCATTGTGGACAGTTTTCTGAAAAGCACCTTATTCCTTTCTGCAAACACAGACCCCCATCTCCACTTCCACCCTACAACAGCCCCTGTCCCCCTTCCTCCCCAACAACTGATCCCCTCCGCCTTCCCTCCGACCCACAGAGCCCCTCCACTCACCCACCCCACCCACCACCAATAAAGCTCTTTCTTCTCCTTGAGTACTATGTACAGGGCTCTTTGTACTCCCAGGGTGGGAGGCAGTAGGGTGGGAACATCTAAGTGGGAAGAGCCCAGGGACAGGAACCCAGCACCCCAGCCTCTGGCCACACCACTGCAAGGTGGGTCAACTGGAGTAGGCACCACCCCACTCACACATGTCTGGCCCAGGTCCTCCAGAGCAGCAGCAGAGGGCAAACTGGGCTGGGTATTGCTCCTCCTGCCTCTGGTGGGGATCAGCTGTAGAGGGACAGGGGGAAAGCGCTGCTGCAAGAGCAGGCTGCTCGTGTGTGTGTGTGTGTGTGTGTGTGTGTGTGTGAGAACATGTGTGCACGAGCACGTGTGTCCATGCATGTGTTTCGCGCTCCCCTGACCACGGTGCACTGGGTAGTTGCCCGTGTTGCCCACCCCTAAGGCCAGCTTTGCTTGCAATTGTATATGCCCCAGCAGACTATTGTATTTCTGTATGGTCCAGAAGTTGTTATACTAAAGGGCTTGACACTGTACTTAATAGTGCGCAGAAACTCGTAACAGGCTGCACAATTTATACAGATATATTCCCTGCCCTCTTGGGTATTAGAACAAGTGCTACAAGAAGACAGACCCTAACACCATTACTGGCAATAGAGACAAGAGTCAGCTGCTCTATCAACTGTTAACTGAAGACCCAAATAGAGGGAGGCTTAAGAGTTGTAAATCATTTATACATGAAACCCAGAAGCTCCTGGGAGAGAATGGGTGTGCAAAACCAAATCTTTGGGCAGCAATGAAGTGAGCCAACTGCTGGGAAAGGTCAGATCTATTCCTACATTGTTTTATACCAGCATCAAATGAGTCCCACATGGGCATGACCTTGACAGAGAAGCATGCATAAAGTTGAACAGACAGAAATCTGGATATGGATGCTTCAAAACAATACTTAACAAGATGACCATCTTGGACAGCTCCCTGTGTGAATGCGGTGTTCAGCAAACAGCAGAGCACTTAATCAAAAGCTACAATCTTTTCAAATGCTCAGATATGGCATATGGAGTCCACATATTGAGTGATAATACCAGACAGTGGGCACGTCTATACAGCTTATTGCTACAGTGCCATAGCATCGTCAGACACAAACTGTGACAGCGACACTACTGCACAGTAGGGCTGTGCAAAACAGCACCATTTCACTTCAACTTCTGTTTCTATGGAGAAGTGTTTCATTTCGAGTTTAGTTTTATTTTGAAAGCACTGCTCCATTTTGTTTAATCAAAAAACTGTTTCAAAGCTGTTTCGAGTTTTGCCCACACCCTTGGAGGAATCCAGCAGAGCCCTCCTGGGGGTGTGGGTGGGAGGCTGCTGCTGTTGCCTGGGACTAGTGCTGGGAGCTGAGCCCAGTGGAGGGAGGCAGAGCGCTGCATTCTGCTTCCCCACACCAGGCTCAGTTCTACTGGGGTGGGAGCTGCTGGGTACCGTGTACCACCTAGCACTGCCTCCCTCCACCAGGCTCAGTGCCCAGTGGCTTGCTGGGCTCCATGGGACTGGTGGAGCTGATTGGAGCACAGCCCAGGAAATCGGGAGGTGGGCAGAGCCGGCACTACGCTCTCATTGGCTCCGTCAGCCCCACAGAGCGCAGCCTGGCAGTGGGAGGTAGGGAGAGCCAGGCCTGCGCTCCCTGCCAGGCTGAGCCACATGGGGCTGTGGAGCTGCTTGGAGCACAGCCCTGGCTCTCCCCTGCCTCCCACCACCTGGCTGCTGCTTCAAAGTTGAGTCGAGTTGAAACAGTGTCAAAACAAAACAGCCGGTGAAATTTTGCACAGACCTACTGCACAGTAGTAACAAGATACTGCACAGTAGCATCTAAAAAAATCCATGCAGCAATGGTACTGTGCAGTAATGCCAGTTACTGCACAGTCATGTAGTACTTATGCAAGTACTAAACGTCTGTGCCGTAACAACTGCACAGTGGGTGGCTTGTGTAGATGTGCCCAGTGGCTCATAGATTTAGAGTTGATATCTGACACCATATGAAAGAGAAAGAGTACAAGGTTTAATAGTCAATACACAGTTTCCAAATATACAAACTGTCCCACTGAAGATGTGCTATTATGTATCAAAACTGATACTTGGCAGAGCTGAAGACTTCCATAGACCATGTGATTTAACTATTTTACAGTTCATGGATCAAGTTTGGGAAGCTATAACATGTTAGAAATAAGTATGGTATTTTTCTGTTATTTCCATTTCTGGATTAAAGAGAATTTGGCATTTAATATAGGCAAAGGATGAACAAGGGAACATCCTTTACTTTTACCTTCAAGTTACAAATACAACAAATTGCCATGCACAGACTGTTGTGTCACATAACTTCATAAATAGACTGGAAACAGAGATGCAGCATTTCACAGCATGGTTATTTCCATTGGGTGCAGACAGACATTCAGGCCCCTGCTGTACCTCATGGCAGTTTCCATGAGTTAGAGCACCCCCCCCAAACAGACGTTCTCCTTTGGCTCAGCCGGGGATCAAGTCTGCCTGCACCACCCCTCTCCCCAGGCCTGGCCCCCTCCCCAGCTCTGGGGCAGTCAGCAGGGAGGGAGGGAGGAGGTGGAAGTTAGTAGCAGCATGGGCTGGGCTTTGCTCAGCCTGAGCTGAAAGGAGCAGGGTGGATTGGAGACTCCCTCCCCTGCCTTGCAGCACCCCCCACCCAACCTTCCATGGCTGGGGTGCTGGGCTAGGCCCATGAGGTGAGGGAGCTCCAGTCCATGCCCCCGCCAGATCAGGTAAGGCAAGCCAGCAGCTTGCGCTGGTCCTTTCCCCCTCTCTGGCCTGAGCTAGAAGGGAGCAGTTGGGGGGGGGGGGGGGGGGGGGTGGGGGTTTGAAAGAAGCCCTCTCACCTCTCTCCTCCCTCCTCCTGCTGACAGCCCCTGAATGCAAAAAAAAAAAAATAAATAAATAAAAAATAACCCTAGGGAACATAAGTCCCTAAGGCACTCTAAAACAACACCTGCATCGATACCTCATTTGAGGAGGATTAATTATTTGTGCAACTGAACAGTATAAAAGTGCTCTGCAGTCATGCACAAGTGTTGTGGCACAGCTGAAAAGCACTTTCAGGGGCCCAGTCACGCAAAACATGCAACTTGTGTACTGACAGCTCTGGCTTCGCTAAGAGAGCCTAGAATTTTGAACACTTTCCTGGGAGAACTAAAATATGGGGCCACATTTCAGGACTGTGGTAGATGGCAACATACTCATTGCACTTTGTTCCTTCTTCCCTTTCCAGGAAAACCAAATGCAACTCCTGCACCAGCAGATTTTGCTACTTGTCTTACTAAAGCAGGGGAAAAATAATGCAGAGGTAAGGGTACCAGACGTGAGTCCATGACTAGCTTATTCATTGGAGCAGTGATCCCTACTAGGGCTGTGCAAAGCTTTGGCTCATGTTTTGGAGATGATTCAGAGGCCAAATCTATGAATCTGAATTTAATTGTAGGAAGTTTAAGGCTTTCCAAATTGATTCAGAGCTTCTGAATCGATTTGGAAAAGATTTGGAGATTCGGCCATAGGGTATAATGGGGAATAAAAGAAATATCTATAACTTTGTTGTCTTTTGGCTGATTCAGATGACACTTGAAGGGATGGTAGCCTCTGCTGAGAGCATGATACATGCCAAGATTCAAGGAGATAGGACCATAGGTTTGGGGGAAAAACTGCACCTCAAATTCTTGAAAGCAATACTCATGACATGAGTTTGTGTTAAGCCACAGTGGAGTCAAAACTGCAGGGATGCTAGGGTTCTGGGTTTTGGGACCCTGCACCTCTGGCTTCTGACAGGCAAAACTCGTGTCATGGGTGCGTGTGCAACTGTGTCTGTCTTGGGGCACATGGGGGTGCAGTTTCCCCCAAAACTCTGCACCTATCACCTTGAAACTTGGCAGGCTTCATGATCTTAGCAGAGGATATCACCCCTGCAAGTTTCATCTGAATTGGACAAAAGAGAACAAAGTTATAGATATTTCATTGATTCCCCATTATATCCTATGGCCAAATCACTGAACTGAAGTGGGAAACCAATTCGGAGCTCCAAACCAAATTGCTGGCATCTGAATCAGCTGAATCCGAACCCAAATTGAATAGTTCCCTATTTGCACAGGCCTAGTCCCTACCTTCCTCAGCTGGGAGAGAAGCAGACACTTCCCTCCCCAGGTTGGGAGAGGAGTAATGGTTCAGAGACATGGGACAACTCAAGAGCATGGGGAGGAGGAAGTGGAAATAGATGTGAATAATACAGCTCAGGGACTTGGGGAGCTTATATGGAGAAAAGTGACAAAACTGATGGAAACCTCAGCCCCTTTTCCTCTCTCTGGAAAAAGAGACCCTGTGACACCTTCCCCTCTCCTCTAATACACTTGGGAGTGACATCTTGAATGGTATCAGTGTGAGGATTATGCCAACTGTTGCCAACTCGTGGCTTTCCTAAAAGTCTTGCAACATCTGATGTTTTCAGCAGCTGCCAGAAATGGTTGTCAGAATCTCAGCTTCCTATTTATAACATTTTTAACCTTCCTAATTGCAAAGGAAAGCTGAAAAGCATGAACCAACTGCACTCTAAAGACTAAGACATTGGGCAGAGAGCACCTTAATTTTTTTTATCTTACAGATTTTAAACCACTCCTGATTTACTTTGTTGTTTTGAATTTGTCAGTACAGTGCACCTGCAGCTCCTCCTGAATAAGTCACAGAAAAAAGCAAGAGGAGTTGCTGGATAAAATAAATGGTCTGGGATAGACAGAATTATCCTTGGGTTCTAACTGTATGGCTGAAATCACATAGTCCAGTGGTTTCCAAACTTCCTAAAGTTTGGAACCCTTTAATATCCCTTCTTTATTAAGCCCTTTAATATAACTTCTTCTGTTGCAGGTCCCTTATTCCTGGTTCCACAGGCCATGTGAGCTGATGCAGAGCCAGACAACTCAGCCCACCAAAGGTGGTGTGCTGCCTCCTGTCCTGCTCCGTCCTTACTCCCATTCTCTTTGTGGAAGTCCTCAAGACCTAATGTGGAACTCCAGAGTTCTGCAGAACACAGAACTAGTCCAATGCTGGAAATTAATATTTCTCCTTTTATCTCAAGACTGACTGTGGCAGTGAGACGTGAGCCACTGCAATCGCCAGCATACTAACAGTGTTGGCAGAGCCCCGATCCTGGGATGAACTGGCAGGCCCACCAGCCAATTAGCTGGGGGAAACCCCAAAATAGCTACTGCCATGCTTTATTAGCACATGCTGGCTCAGGCTACAGGGGTGGGCACCAAGGGATACCGTAAAGACATGCCCAACACCAGTGAGAAGGGAAACCGGAAGTGGAAGCTGAGAAGGGGGAAAGCTGGCTTTCAGAGTGACTTGCTCTGGCAGGGGCAAGTAGAAGGGACTGGCTACAGTTCCTTCATGGGAAGACTCGGGGGAGTCTTCAAACCTACCTGTGGAGCAACAGCAAGGGGTCCTGAAGCTGTTGATGAAGCAGAGGAGCAGTAGAGAGCTCTTGCCAATCTGTAGAAGAAAAGAAGATGTCTAACCGTGAGTAGACTAGAGGAGTGAAGAGAAGTTTCTCCCTCCCCAGTCTAAAGATACCTGTAAGAGATGGGGAGATGTTATTTATGGACGGTGTAGGGAAACCCCAACCTGGGGGATAGGACTGGGCCCCAACCTGGGGAATAGGACTGGGCACAGAGACTTCCAGATTGCCTCTGGATTGAGATTAATTGAGGCTTCTGGCTCGCACATAGGACACACCTAATGTTATAGATTTCATAGACAACAGGGCTGGAAGGGACCACGGAAGATCGTCGAGTCCAGCCCCCTGCCCAAGGGGCAGGAATTCAGCTGGGGTCATAGGATCCCAGCAAGATAAGCATCCAAATTTCTCTTGAAGGCATTCAATGTAGGTGTTTGAACTATCTCCGGTGGCAGGCTATTCCACACCTTGGGGGCTTGGACAGTAAAGAAATTCTTCCTTATGTCCGGCCTGAAACGGTCTTGCAAGAGTTTATAACCATTCAACCTTGTCATCCTTTGGGGCGCTTTGGTGAACAATCGTTCCCCCAGATACTGGTGAACACCCCTGATAAACTTATAGGTGGCCATCACATCACCCCTGAGCCTGCACTTTTCCAGGCTAAAGAGTCCCATAGCTCTCAGCCTGTCATCGTAAGGTCTGTTTTCCTGAACTCAGATCATGCACGTAGCTCTTCTCTGGACTCTCTCAAGCTTCTCCACATCCTTTTTGAATTGTGGAGCCCAAAACTGGATGCAGTACTCCAGCTGCAGCCTCACCAAGGTCAAGTACAATGGGAGAATGACGTCCCGGGATTTGCTTGAGAAACATCTATGGATGCAAGCCAGCATTTTTCTCACTTTACTAGCCACAGCATCACATTGAAGGCTCATATTCATCTTGTGGTCAGTCCTGACCCCCCAAGTCCCTTTCATCCATAATGTTAGCCAGCGTAGCACTGCTGAGCCTATAAGGATGCTGCAGATTTTTCCTCCCAAGGTGGAGAACCTTGCATTTTTCAGTGTTGAACACCATCAGGTTCTCATCCACCCATTTCCTGAGCCTGTCAAGGTCAACCTGGATCACCCTCCTGTCCTCAGGTGTGGATGCTTTACCCCAGAGTTTGGTATCAGTGGCAAACTTGGCCAGTCTGCTTCTGACTCCAATGTCCACATCATTAATGAAGATGTTGAACAATATAGGTCCAAGGACAGAGCCTTGGGGGACCCCACTGGGGCATGGGTGGGCTCCCTTAAGTGCCTTGGCCCACTGGCTTTGCAAAGGTTGCTCAGCAGGTCAGCAGTGGCGGTAGTCCCCCCACCCCCCTGTCAGGCTTAGTTTAAAGCCCAGTGGAGCAGGTCAGCTAGTCTGACTGAGAAGAGCCTCCTCCCCAGTGGAGAGAGGTGGAGGCTGTCACTTTCCAGCAGCTCACTGCCTCTCTCACCAAAGAGTGGACTGTGGTCATGGAAGCCAACGCCTTCCCAGTGACACCAGTGCTGCAGTCTTTGGTTAACTACCTGGATCCTCCTCTGCCTCCTCACCCCATAGCCTGAGACTGGGAGGATCGAAGAAAACACCACCTGTGCCCCCAGATCCTTTAGTCCCGCTCCCAGATGACAAGACATGGAGGGTACTCTAGCTTCCCTACTTACCTGATTTTGACTTCTGACATCAGGTTGGTGCTAGGAGAGGGTGTAGGGGAGGGGGAGCCCCAAGGAATACCATTTGGCCAAGCAAATCATGGCACCAAGGAATTAGACATCTTCCTTCTCCTTGATATGTAAAACATCAAGCATGGTGGGCTAAGAGAGAGAGTTTGCATTGTAAGCATTTGACTCTTGGGGTCAAACGGTGTAGTCCAGGGGTTGGCAACCCCCGGCACACATGCTGAGCATGGCATGGAAGGCCATTTTGCTTGGCATACTACACCCAGCTCTGGCTCTGGGTAGCAGCTCTGATATGGGACAGGGTCCCTAAGGCCCCTTGACCATGCCAATTTGGCCCGCTGGGCACCCTCAGTTCTCACCTGCCATGTCTTGCTGGATTTATAGTATAGGGAGGCTGCCTTTAAGTCCTCTTGGACATGATTTGATGGTCTCTCTGAACCCCGTGGGTTCCCAGAACCCTTGTGAGTCTCGCTTCAAAGTAGATGTCAAAGGACACCCCAGCCTTATGGGCTATATGTGTGGCTCAAACCACCCCTTTACCACGCCTTAAGCCTTGCAGATGGCATTAACATTGTCTGGTCTGGGCCTTGCTGGCTCCCTTGTCCTCTCTGGGCTCTCTGCAGCCCTGTCTCTGCGCCTCACTGACACTGGGGTCTGTGCACCCCAAATGCTGGCCCTCTCTGGTGCTGGGGTCTGTGCACCCCAAATGCCACACCCTCTCTGGCACCGGGGTCCCCACACTGTAGTAGGAGGCCCAATGAGGCCTCCTCCTTCCCCAAATAGCCTCACCCAAACCACTGATATTATAAACAGAAATCAACATGCCAGCCCCAAGGCTATAACATAACTCAAGCCGCCCAGCTATAACATAATTCGAGCCACACAGGGTGTGCTCTGTCCCTCAACAGTACCGGAAGCTGCACTTACAGTCAGGCCTCTCCCCTTTGCTTCTTCTGGAAGAGCTCCTTCCCCCTTGGCTGCAGGCAAAGAACTGCCTTCCTAGCCCCAGCCCTGGGGTTTATATATGAGCCAGGCCCTGCCCCTTCTGGTCAGCTGACCGCTGGCAGGTGTGGGCCAACTAACTCATTCTGGCTGCCCTGGTAACCAGGAGCTGGGGCTCCCAACTCACTGCTAGGGCTCTCTCCCTAGCAGTTTCAGCTCTTTAAAGGAGCAGGGCACCTAAGTGCTCTGTGACAAGCTGCCAGTGACAGAGCCCAGGCTGCTCCCAGCAGGCCTTGCAGTGTCCCAGCTGCCTGGTGGGAGCAGCCCAGGCTCTGTGGCTGGCAGCAGTTCCCTAGAGCCAGGGCCAGATGCAGCTGGAAGGCTCCAAACACCTGTGCCAGACTCCAGAGCCCAGGCATGAGCTCTGTACCGGAGCATGCACCCACGTCTCGGAGCAGGCGGTGGGGGAGGGGTCTGAAACAGTTCAACCCCAGTCTCTCCCCCCGCTCCTGGCACAGAGCTGGTGACTGGGCTCTGGAGCCCAGCACAGCTGTTTGTATCCAGCCCGGGCTCTGGGCAGCTGCAGCAAGCAGTGGGCAGGCTGAAAACAGCTGTGCTGTGCTCCACAGCTCTGGCATCACTTCTATGCTGGCAGTGACTGCGTGTGCACCTCGGGGTGGGCTGTGCTGCCCTGCTGTCTGCCCCAAGGTGCGCACGCAGTTGCTGCCAGCATGAAGCTGATGCCGAAGCTGTGGAGCCTGGCACAGCTGTTTGGAGCCTCCCAGCTGCAGCCAGGCCCAGCTCTGGGGAGCTGCTGCCACCCACAGAGCCCAGGCTGGGGGGCACAGGGCAGCAGGGCTCAGGGGCAGGGGCTTTGGGTGGGGGGCAAGAGGCATGTGCAGGGCATCTTGCCATGTACTTCCTGCCATCATTTTGTTTTTCTGACATGCCGGCACTGTGGCACCTTCCAAGGTAGGCATTGTGGGGGTTTTCTGCACTCTGATCAAAAAAATGTTGCCTACCCCTGGTCTAGTCATAAGGGTAAGCACACAGAAGACTCCATGTCAAGATGTAAATGTCCAGCTAAGTCAACACATGGACGTTTACACTGACTGTACATTTAGAACTTCTTATGATAACAACAGGAAGATTTAACACACATTTTCAGAACATAAAACTTACTAGAAGGCAAGAAAAAGCCCCACACACAATAGATAACTTTTAGTGAATAAAACAAAATGCTGCAGGGGTAAACACATATCAGCTATAACAAATTCAAAATTGGCCACAATTGCAAGGGAAGTGCCTTCTAAGAATGCAGTATAATATTTAAATCACCATAATTAATTAAATATATGACCATCTTGGCTCTTTAGTTTCCTTATTCCTCTTCATCTTCCTTGCACTACTTACTTTTTTATCACTTAAAAACCAGTTGGAAATGGTGAAGGGGCAATATCCATGCATGAAAAATTAAAAATGCCATTCATACGATGAACATCTCTATTCTGAAGTAAAAGACACTTCACAATATAGAAAAGGACCCACATCACCTTGAAGCTTTTCTTATGTTTTGTATGAGAGTTGAAATCGTTTCAACTTCTTAGTACGGCCTCTAGGTGGCACTGTGACTCTGCTGCAGGAGCTAAAATACAGGGAGCAACACAGTTAAAAAATTAGGATTTGCACAGCCAAGTGGATAGGAATTCACAGCTGCCAAGTTATATGCTTCAAGTTCTTTACATATTAGGCAAGTGTAATAATAGTTTATTTATAGTGGCTAATTAGTTCTTGGGTCACAATGCTCCACAAGTCATTTCTCTGAGGTCTCTCTGAGCCAGAAGCACAGCTAATATATAAGCACAGCAAAGTGTACAGCTCCTTCCTGTGCAAAGTGATTTGACAGACCTTAATGCAATTAATTAGGAGCCCAATACTTAATTGGCATTCCACTGCTGTATCCACAGGATGAAATGATTCCTTTTTTATAGCTGGTTTTTGTAACTTGCGTAACAGTAATTGAAGGGTTAATCAGCCATTTGGTGTGATCAAGGTAGTACTTGTTTTTAACACTGCATTGCCATGCATTATCTTGCTGAACCAGGGGAGGTGTCCTGAAACAGTACAAATATTTTGTGTCCTTTGCAGTGGAATTAAGCTTCTCAAATTCACTTTCTAATTTGCTTCCATAATCCTAATTACTATTTGTGCAAACACTAATGTGAAAGCAGTATTATTAGGAGGTTATGCACAAGGAGATGAAAAATAATAAGCAGGGGATAAGGTCTTGCCAAATTCGACCCCACCCAAAATATTACACTGATCACTAGACTTCAGACACTAACTGACAGGGGTTGCCAAAAATGACAACACTTTTATTCTTTACTGGGAAATAGAGGGACAGTTTTAGTTCAGATGAAGGACTAGACTTGGTAGACAGCAAGCTACCTGCTTGGCTGTGCAAGTAACAACCAGAAATCAGATGTAAAAATAATTACATTAAGATGAAGGAACTCCAGCTTTCTGTAAAAAGGCTGTCTTGTGATACATAACTCTTACAGAGGGCAGTTATGGCAAGCTAGATCATCTTTGGGTTAATGCCATTGTGCTGAACAGATAAAAATTTGTAGACATTACTCAGAAAAGAGTGCTATGCATTAAAAATACATGGATGTGACCCTGTTTACCACTCTGCAGTATTCCAAAAAGCTATGGCTAGGATTTTCAAGAGCACGTGGCATTGTCTGACTGCTTCTATTTAAATGAATGGAAACATTTAAGAGTTCAAGCATTATTCTACAACTTGGGTCTCCTAAATATTAATCTTGTTTCCACAGTGAATTGCTAGGCTGGATTGTACACTGAGGTGTAAATCAAAAGTCACAGCTCAAGAAGACTGCTGAAGGTGGTTGTCAATCAAAAAGACTGTTATTTCCACCATATCCTAACAGTTCAAGGCTGAAAGGGCTAGCATTATGTAGTCTGGAGAAGAAAATACTGAGGGAAGGATTTGAAAGCAGTCTTTAAGGACCTGAAGGGTGATTATACAAAGGATAGAGATGGACTTTTCTCTGTGGCTGTAGGGGATAGAACTAGGAGCAACGGACTCAAAGCTGCAGCAGAGTAAATTTTGGTTGGCAATTAAGAAGAGCTCTCTATGACGATAGTCAAGCACTGGAACAGACTACCTAGAGACATTGTGGAATCTTCATCCCTGGACATTTTCAAGGGCAGGTTGGACAACCACTTGGTTGTGATGATTTACTTGAGGATTATCCTGCCTTGAGTAGGGGACTGGACTAGATGACCCCATATTCAGGTCCCTTTCAGTCCTACTTTCTTATGATCCTAAAACAAAGCGATTCCACTGCTATAAAACTGCTGAGAGAAATGAAGATCAGATCCACTGTGCTACCTTAGGCAAACAACACAATACTGATTCTCACTTTACCATCTGCTCATTGAGGCTCAATGTATGTGATTTTATAGTGGCTTTATCCATGGACCCAAGTACTAAGCTGGGTGCAAAAATATTGATGTTTGTGCCAGAATGCTTGTGGCATCAGCAGAGAGCGCTTACCTTCTTTGGAGACTTAAAATTTCCTGGCTGCTGCTCCTGCTACCTGGTCAGAAAGGGAGGTGCCATCACACCGCTGTATCCCTTTGGATCAGCCAATAAAACAGAGGAAAAAGGAAGTGGATCTTATATATATGTGCTAGAGGCTACTGTTCTCCTCCTTTTTCATTGTTTTCTCTGCACAACAGCTGCTACAGCTGCTCCTTTACCAGCATGGGCTGGGCTGCTGCCACTGAGGGACAGGCAGCGGTATAGGCTTGCTAGAGGCTGCTCCTGGTGCCCTGTTCTTCCCTGCCCCTGAGGGCAGGGCTGAGCCACTGATGGTAAATCTTCCCAGACAGCAGGGGTATAATTCCTTCTCCATTCCCCTCAGTAGATATACTTCTGGGCATAGCACTGCTCCGCCCTGGCTCCCTGTGGCTGGGTTGTGCAGGGTTCTGCATGCAATTGTAGCAGAAAGCCCCTTTTTCCTCTTGCCTGCATTTGCTCTCCCCTCTTTGGATATGTTTCTCTTCTTCTACCTTTTCTTCCTTCCTCTTTCTTTCAGTATAAGATAAGGAATTGTGTTTTAAAGTTTGTATGTGTGTATTTTGTATCTCCCCTTGTATTTTGGTATTTTTATCTACTTGTGTGCCATGGCATTACTCTTGTAGCTTATGTTTTATACTCCTCACCTTTTAACTAAATGTGTTTAGTTTCAGAAGTAAGTTATACATTGTAACAATGTTAGCAAGGGCAGGAATCAAACTGCCCTTCCCTGTATCAGGCGGGCCCCTGAAAGAGTGAGTAAATCAGTGATTGAATGCGTAACACAGTAACAGGCGGCAATTAACACCTAAGAAAACGCAGATCAACCAAGGGAAGAAATCAACAGGAGACAATGTAGCAACCGGGAATTCTCTAAACGTCACTGTTCCAGGGCTAGAAGCCCTGGTCTGAGTTAATCAACGCCGGGGACCAACTTTTGGGCTGAATATCTCCAGATTGACCACTCCCAGAGCCCTATTCAAAATTCATCCACGGACTCCCAAACCTGCACGTACATGCGGATGACCCCTGGGGTTGACAGATGCCATCCAGTAGCCACCGAGGGGGAAGTCCCATGAGGGTCAACAACCCCTGGATTGGGCAAATCTGAAAACTGGGGAGTCACCAAAGTCTGCCAAGGAGAGATAAAAAGCAGTGAAAAGTGACCCTCAGCGGCGCCCTCTTGATCTCCAACTTGACCAGACCTGTCCAGCCAGAAGGACCAGCCAGCAACCCCCTTCTGAAGGATAACACCATGCTGGAAGAAGCCTCGACTGACCATCGACGGCAGACTCCAGTGCCTGTGGGATAGGTATACCTGACTCTTGTAGCTCGCTACTGTGTGTGCATGTGTGTGTGTGGGGGGGCAGCCCCAAGGTTTATGATTTGACTTCATTACAATGTTTCAATCCACCTAATAAACCAGAATTTTAAGGATCCTGAGTTGGACATTTGTAGCCAACACAATGGAAAGACTTTTGGTGGAAAGGGGCCATATTGGCATCCCCTCACTAAATCAACACCTGTTGCTGATGCCTTGCTTGCTCAGCCCTAGTTATACAACTGGCATTCCCTCTCTAACTCCAAGTTAGAAAGAACATTTTCAGCCATGAGAGAGATTTCTGGCCAACAAGCAGGTCACAACCTTGAAACCACCTTGCTATGAAGAAAAAATATTAAGGAATACCAGGAATTTGGAAAAGTCTTTTGGACAAAAACCTTATTTCCACTATTTCTTCTATAGAAATAAGTGTGAAAAAACTATTCTGAAAACTTGGGAAGCGCTTTCAGGAGCACTTTACAACTTGTAGCACTTGAGATTTTCTGTGTATTTTTGGATTGGAAAACGTGGCTCTTTCGTTCTTGATGGCCTTGATTGTGGAACAGGGAGATTACTATTACTACTTTCTGTTATATATAACTCTTGCTAAAATGTTAATTTCTTCAAATTGTTCCTGTATGTCAGTCATACTACTTGACATTAAGTAATTCTAAGAAAAAGGATGAAAAAAGATAAATCCACAGAGGAGGTAATAAGTGATGCCAGTTAGCATTTGCAAATCCTGAAGGTAGGTTTGTATTAGCTCTGGGAAGAGTTAAAGCAGTTGAAGGGCTGCTCTAACTCAGGCAACTGATGTAAGGTTTCTGGCAGATCTCATGTGTTAAAAATCAGGTGTAGGTAGAGCTCACCTTCCTCCCTCCATGTGCCTCCTACAGAAGGGGTGGTGAAGCAGCTTTATACAGTGTGTTTTTCCTTGTATCCATGGAATTCCCAATTAGCTCTTTTATCCTGATTTATACTTGTGTGTGCTGTCTGGGTGGCACTGATAGGTTGGATCTCCTGGCTTTTCATGGACCTGGAAGACCTGGCTTTGCACAGACAGATTTCAAAATGGAAGTATTTTATTTTTTCTACCCATTATGATCATTAGTGCAGCATCTGGTGAGGAGAGATTGTATGGATTACAGCATTACTTGAGTCATGACTCACCTAATAAAAGATAAAGTCAGATCCCAATTTCTAAGAAACTGCCTACAATAGTTATTTCAAGTACTTTGAAGTTTAACATATCTGAGAATGTTACATCTCCTGCATTAATTAAAAGGGGAAAAAATCTGCTAATACTTGAAATGATCAGAATAACCCTAAATAAACTCCATGATTATACAGGAAAAATATATGACACTTTTAGGAAAAGTTCCAGCATTCGCTTTAGCAGCAGCAGCACCAGCAAGAGAGCAGCTCAAAACATTACCATTAACAGATTCAAGGACACAGACTTTATGTTGTAGCTGCATTCTCCCAAAGAGACGAGATCCTTGTATGTAATATAAAAGTCACACAAATGACAGGATTCCATTACAAATAAGAATATTTAATACAAACCTAAGTATACTGCAGGAGAGTAACTTACATTCAGTGAGAATTGTGCTAACTTCTTGATCTAAGTTGGTAGAAGATGCCAGTCTAGACACTGGAAAATAAAA